CAATCCCTTCTCCTCCATTCTCCTTTCGGGATCTTGGGCACGCACGTACACGCGCCCGGCGTGAGTTTAAGCCACTGGACCCAGGACTCGAACTGCGATTGACTACATGGGAGTCCAGTGATGTAGCCATTATGCCATCTGCTGGTCCCCACTGGCCCAAATTCTTGAAGTCATAATAATCCTTAATATAGTGATATATGTGCCTAATAACAGAAAATCAAAACATATGAGGCAGGAACCAGCAGGTGGTGTGGTGGTTAAGGGCGCTGGACTCCCACATGGTCGACTGCAGTTCAAGTCCTGGACCTGGCAGCTTGCTTTCTCACTTTCCCTTTCTCTCTCTTTTACTCTGTTCCTCTCTGGTCAAATTAAAACAAACAAACAAATTAATTAAATAAATAATTATTTTAAAAAGATATATGTATATAGGAGGTTTAAAAAAAAAACAATAGAACTGCAAGAAAACTAGGTGAATCCACCATTGTGGTTGACGGTCACAATATAGAAGGTGACCTCGATCTGCTGTATTTATAAACTTTTTAGTTGTCCTCCAGTCCTATTACTGAGCAGGTCACTGGACTCCTGTGATATCAGATGCTTCTGATCAGCAGTATGCATGTGTGTCTGATTAGTTACTGTAGTACTTCATATTTGGACGTGAGGAGGTAATGATTAATATCCTCATTTGCCTGAGAAACAGATCCAAGGAGATGTGGGACTTGCCAGATGGAAACCAAAATGTCAGCTTTACAGTGAATAAACACTGGGCTGGAGTGTGTGATTTGAGACTGGAGCCGGCAGGCTTGCTGAACCTCACTCCCCAATTTTTTTTTTTTTTATGAGAGATTTTTGCTATAAGGTGCGTGCACTCACTGGAAAGACAGAGAGAGACAGAAAGCGAGAAGTAACTTCGCAGGGCAGATGGCCACGCTGCAGTTCCTTCTCCTCCATTCTCCTCTCAGGATTTTGGGCATGCATGACATGAACCCGGTGTGAGTTAGATTCTAAGCCACTAGGTCTGGGACTCGAACCGTGGTCGACCACATGGGAGCCCAGAAATGCAACCATGACACCATCTGCTGGTCCAAGCAACACACTTTTTTTTTTTTTTTTAAATGAGGTTTTTGCTATAGGGCACATATGCTCACCAGAAAGACAGAGAGAGACAGAGAGATAGAAAGTGAGAAATCACCCCCCAGGGGAAATGGCCACGCCACAATCCCTTCTCCTCCATTCTCCTCTCGGGATCTTGGGCACGTGCATACACACGCCCAGCGTGAGTTTAAGCCACTGGGTCCGGGATTTGAACTGCAGTTGACGTCAAGTGCTGGTCCCTCTCCCGAGAGGAGCATGGA